CTTACCTCTTAACTAGGTCTTTTTAAGCTGGATAAATTTCATTCCACTTTATTTGGTTTGTTCCGCCTACTTAGATAATTTCTATTAATTTACGTTGCTTACGCTGATTGTGTTTACCTACGTTAACTTTATTGCGTTTATAGCATTTTTGAGTAACTTGTGGACTTAAACGTAGTGCCACTAAGCATGTAACACCCGCTTCCGAGACACGTAATCCCAGCAAGCAGGAGGTTTATCAATCAGTTGAAGTGGTACAAGGTTCACTGAAACTCGCGCCGCGAGACCGGGGGCGTGTGTCAGGTGAATGGCCAGCTGGTGTGAATGCTAACCAATCCGCGCACGGCTGAAGTAAGCGGATTGAAATCATTCACTTACGTGACATCCCCTCATCTCTTGAAATGTTTATACTCCTGGCACAAAACGGTCAACGAGTTTATGCGTACGCTGACATCTACGAAGCGACGGTGCATCTGACGATTGTACAGAATCCTGGGGGTTGCTTTCGTTTCCGGCTGAACCGAGGCTGATTCATCCAGACGTTCATCTGCTGTTATCCCAACACAACGTGAGTGTGTGGTCTGAGTGTCGCCGTACTATCCGACCATTTAATTCGAGATCTGCTTGGGCACAGCCCATCGCAATGAAATGCGATGGTTTGCGTGCTACAGAGATCCACTGAGCTTTGCTGGGTGGTGCTTTTTTGCATCTTCAGAGCCGCTCATACCAGATTGGGCAATGGTTAGAGGCCAGACAAACTCAGCCTCCAGGTTGTAGGTTGGAATAAGGGTGGCTCCTTATCCCTTAAAACGGACTCCTTGTAGTCCAACGCCAAACCCGCTACCTTGCGGTCAGGTTTTTGAACCAAAGACTTTGATTGAGAACCCTAATCGTTCTCCTGTCTAGGCTGGGCCACCTAACAGTATTCTGCCCGCGCAATACAATGAATCGCACTTCAAACAAATTTCTGATGCTCTGGCCACCGCAGAGGATAATAAACGGTGCCCTATCGGCTGCATAAAGCAGGGTGGATAGGCGTTTGGATGCTACTGCTCAAGCCTACCCATCGTCTTATTCCCCTTCTTGCGCGTTTTCACTCTTACCGTCCCGTTCCAGCTTCACTTTTATCCCCCTTTGTTCAACCCGCAAATCTCGCCCCCCACCTTGCTTTCATAGGCCTTTACCCTCTAGTTTCAACTCACATGTGAACGCTGAGCCTCATTCCTGCTCTACCGACAAGCCCATGTCCAAGCAAGCGGCTAAGCCTAGTGCATCGGCTTCCCTTTGGACCCCTCGATCATCCTTCAGACTGGCATGCCCCAATATACGCACATTGCTTCAGATCGGTCAACAGGCAGCACTTGCCCTAACATTAGAGACTCTCTCGATCGATATCTGCTGCTCATCGGAGACCCACCTGTAAGACTCGAGCTCTGTGCTCACTCTGCGATCCCCTTCAGGTGACACTAGCAGCACTTTCTCATTGCACCTATCCGGTGACCATGCAGCTTAGAGCACCGGCCAAGCCGGTGTTGGTATTGCCCTGAGTCCCCGGGCTGAAGTTGCTCTGGTTGACTGGATTCCAATCAGTAACCGGATGTGTGCGGTCCGATTGGCTGGTTGTTTCAAAGCTTCAAAGCCGCACGGGATTAACAGATGTCTATTCGTCATCGATGCCTATTCACCGACAAACTGTAGCGATGATTCAGTAAAAGACGACTTCTCTCGTCAACTGAACGAGCTCCTTCGCTGCAGAAGAAGCTCGGACACTGTTGTGCTGGCTGGGAATCTGGACGCTCAAGTTGGAAATTATCCACTGATGAACTGCATCTGGGCGGCCAACATGGTGTAGGCTCCCGTAATGATAACGGTGAGCGGTTACTTCATTTGTGTGAGGATGCTCGCTTATTTATTGCGAGCACTAACTTCCGACACCGCATCCGCCGGAAATTGACTTGGCGCCCATCTGCCTCGAACCAGCTATGGACGCAAATCGATTACATTGCTATCAGTTACCGCTGGAGAGGCTGCGTTCAGAACTGTCGTTCGATTTGGAGCGCATGTGTGGACACCGACCATGCACTTGTATGTGCTGACCTGCGGATGCGCTTTGGCGGACGCCCACGACGACGTTGTGAGCGCATTGACACCAGCCAACTGGCGAAGCCAGCTGTTCTGTATGCCTATCAAAGTACGCTGTCATGCGAGTTGGATAAACGCTCACTGGATGCAATTGAATCTCACTGGTCTCATATTCACCAGACTTTACTGGCACTAGGCCAATCCTCATGTGTTATGTCTAATCGCCAACATGGACATTGGGTCTCTTCTTCGCAGTCTGTGGAACCTATCCATGCTCGCCAGCATATACCGGCTGGACGTGAACACAGTGACACTCGCAAAGAGCTCTGTGCAAAGTTCCGTGCTAGCCTGAAGAGAGTCCGCGAATCCCAGTGGTCTAATCGTGCTTCCGAGTTGGAAATGGCCGCTGCCCTTGGCAACCAGCGTAAGTTATTCCGTCTGATACGGGAAACGGGCAGCAGGAGACCTGGTGTTAGTGAAACAGTTTGTGACGAGAGTGGACAGCCTATACACAAGTTGTCAAAACGCTTGAGGCGTTGGGCTGAACACTTTGAAAGGCATTGTTCGATTCTTCGTTGGCCACTGATCGCCCCGCTCCGTGGGCTGTCCCTTTGGATCCACCCTCCCACTCAGAAGTCAAACTTGAGTTCGGACTGTTGAAGTTGAACAAATCCGCGGGACCAGATGATCTTCCTCCATACCTCTTCAAATTCGGAGGATCTGCTCTTGTGCATGACTTATACGAGTTACTAGTGAAACTGTGGGAGCAGGAAACTGTCCCAACCGATTGGAGTCACTCCGTCATAGTCCCAATTTTTAAAGGAGGCTCACGATCGGAATGCGACAACCATAGAGGAATCAGTCTGATCTCCATCGCCTCCAAGTTGCTTGCCTCTATAATCCTTCACAGACTGACTTGCACTCATGAAAGCCATATTCGTGAACGGCAAGCCGGGTTTCGTCGAGGTCGTGGCTGCATTGATCACATCACTTTGCGTCAGTTGTTTGAGCACTGTCACATATATTGGCGGCTCACCGTTGTAGTGTTCCTCGATATCAAAGGTGTATTGGAATCGCTGGATAAACGTGCACTTTGGTATACCTGAGAAATATGTAAATATTATCCGATCATTATATGCGCGTAGCTCAGGCAGAGTGAGGGCTTATGGCAAGCTGTCGTCTCCCTTAAATATCTCCAGCGACGTAAGACAAGGATGCCAACTGTCCCCTTTCCTCTTCAACTTCGCTATTGACAAAGTCATGGAAATCGCGTTTACTGGACACGATTTGAAGGTGTGGATCTGATCCCAGGTGAACGACTTCTTGACTTAGAGAATGCTGACGACATTGCCCTAATCTGTGACAGCTCCCAGACTTGCCAAGCTTCACTGGACAGATTAGCACCGGATGTCAGCCGCTTCGGGCTTTGCTTTGCACCATCGAAGTGCAAAGCGTTCCTCCAAGCTTGGTCTGGACCGCCTCCTTCGCTGACCCTTGGTGGGGATCAGCTAGAAGTCGTTCGGAAATTCAACTACCTGGGAGGTTGTGGGATTGAAGATGAGATCACGAACCGAATAGCAAAAGCTCAAAGTGCTTTTGCTAACCTTCGCCACTTATGGTGCCGGCGTGACATCACTCTTGCGCTGAAGGGTAGAGTGTACAATGCAGCGGTACGTTCGACCCTACGGTACGATTGTGAAACTTGGCCTCTTAGATCCACAGATATAAAGAGGCTAGTTAGGTTCGACCACTGGTGCCTTCGCAATTTAGCTCACATCTGGTGAGAACACCAAGTAAGCAACGAGCGTTTTTGACGCCTTGTTTACGGCACAGAAAAAGGAAGTGAACCGCTCAGCACCATTATTTCACGCACCAGGCTCCGATGGCTGGGCCACGTGTTGTGCATGCCAGACCATCGACTTCCACGATTTGCGTTGTTTGCGCGCCGGGGTGTGGATGGAAGAAGAGGAGGGTTGGCCAAGCGATGACTTGGTGGAGCGGAATGAAGACCCTCACTTCTGAGCTGACCTCGGTTGGAGCGTCTCGGCTCCCTGATTGGGGTCCGAAAGACAATGAACACGTTTGGTTGGACACGCTTGTTGATATGGCAAGAAGCCGACCTCAGTGGCGTTCGTGCTGTGAGTTTCTTTACCCCACTCCACCCCTCTTAGCCTCCCCGTCCCACCACGATCTCACTATTTAGTCCTATATAATTTTGCATAGTAATTCTTTTGCTGCATAGTAGCCGGTTGGTAGCTTACCGGAACGATGCCCATCCGTTACCGGTAGCTCAGCTGACTTGCACCTGTTGCATATTTTTCTTCTATGTATTGCGGCACAGTAGCTGAGGTGTTTCCCACCTCTAGCTAACGTGTATAATGATGATGATGATGCCATGGCGTTGCGTTGTGATTACGCTGTGGCTTATATGTTTGTTAGTACCCACGATGCTTCACCTTTCATCACAGTAACAGAACAGAGCACCACGCACCTAACCTCAGTGCATCTTACTCTTGGTGGGCAAATAAAGTGGGCAGTTTGATGTTTTTATAATAGCCACGGTCATGCAGCGTCTTCAACTAATGAGCTCTACGGTCCCAAGCGATATTCCAGTGCTTGCATTGAGCCAGTCGACAGCAGCGTGCGCTAGAAATTCTGCAACATTCACCGGACTCTGAGTGTAACTTCAAGGCGCCTGTGTGGCATTAACTGTTAACGCTCAGCAGATGATGATTGTTATAATGTCAGGTTCACCTTTAGCCGGAACTCTCAAAGCATTTTTGACGTTTAAACGAAGATCTCAGTGAGTTATGAAAGACCAACGTTTGGCGAGATGATAACATGTATTTTAACAGGTTTTGTCTTCATTCAACCGGACATTTAAACACTCAGTGATATAGTGGGATTGTATTTTATTTCAATCCCTCATAAGCGGCACGAAGGCCACCATAACACATGTCGGAAGTTACAACAGATAAATAGTTGACAATGACCTGAAACAATAGCGTAAGTGAAGTGCAAAAAGCAATAGCTTATGATTGACGGCTAATGAATGTCATGACAACATCAGGTTAGTATGCGAAGCCTAGAGACTATAAAGAGTGTGGGGTCCGACAGGTTGCACACGAAGTTGTGATTTTGCGATCCGCTTTCTAAAGGCCTCAATCCATGATATTTATTTGACAGACGACCATACAGTGTTGGGCGAATGCTGATCATTTATCGCTGACCTGATGGAAAGGCAAATATAGCATTGCGTCTTCTTATCCGTACCTTTGAATTTGATGGACAAAAAGTAGTATTTTAACACGGCTTTACATCATATAACAATATTGAATTGATGGATCAGAATTTAACCCTATATTTGATTTGCTTCCAGACGTGTGATCCATGTGAACATGCTCGAACTTGGCCTTAATAAAGTATCAAAGTACTCGATCCAACAAGAAATTAATTTCCAGAGAACTAATTCATTGAGCCTGGATGGAAAATGATCAGTGTAAAATCTCCGAGTTTCTCAGTCAGCGTTCACGCAATCCATTCCATGCCGAAAGTGATCTGTTGAAGTTATGTCCGATCAAATGAGTTCCTTTAAGATGCTATGCGGTTTGGTGATTGTCATATGGATGGCTTCCGTTTGTTTATTAGGCCCCTCCACACGCAGATAGGAAAACAAGCTTCACCTTCTCGTCGTCTCAGTTGTTAGGCAGAGCCAGCTTAAGGTCAGCATACAAGCCGAGAAACGTGGCGCAACACTGGATCGATATACAATTGGAGATAGAACTCGAGCAGAGATCAGACGCGAATCTGTGTGGTGTCAGCAGCCAATTGAACGCTGAACTTGAACCGTACGAGTTATGTTAGTTGATAGTAATTAGCATCCCCAATATTGTCGTGTTAATAGTTGCCTTCAACCTACTTATTGCGCTATGTTCTCATACAATACGAATCCCTCGCTCCGGCTGGTCTTGGCGTTCTGATTCCGTTGCGGGCTGAATTGATTGAGGGGCGGCACAGTAGATTCAGGCAGGTTATCGGTACATTCAGCGGAAACCACAACAGATTTCTGGCAACATTACTGTTTTGTAAAAGTCTAGGCATGGCAGAATAATCAGCTTAACTCTTTGTTGACTTTTCAGTTACCGTGCAGGTGATTATCATGATAAACCAGAGTCCATCTCTTAACCGTCCGTATGTGCATTAACTAGCTGTCTTATTGCTGCTCCATCGTCGTCCTGACGTGTTATGGGAACGTCAAATAACCCCAAAAATATGTTATTTCAGTACATAGGCTGCGAAACGCAGAGTTCAATTCCCACCCAGCCAGACCGAATCGGGGTTCTACTCAGCGAAGGTGAACAATGTTCTTTCGTAAACTACGCGCTCTACCTGGTGACTCATTTCACCCGTGAAATGAACTATTGTGCCAACTTTATCCGGCCTTTGTGAGTTGTAAAAAAACTCTTAGAGATCAGCTTCGTCTTGTCTCGTCCCCTCTTGTGGTGGTTGGGGCTCGCGCGGTCACGTGCTCGTGTGCGTCGTTTTGGCCGGCTGCTGCATGTGTGTCTAAGTCTCTCGCGTCTAGTCCCCCGGTCGTGTACCTATTGTTGTCTGTTTTCCAGGACTCAACGCCTTACCCCAATACGTTCGTGAATAGGGACCGTGTCCAGGTCACTCCTAAGCAAACGCGATCAGGTCTGCACAAACATGGCGTTTCTACCGGCCTACTGAGTAAATTAAAAGATGTGGATGAGATCATGCATGGTATGTGGAGGAACGATGCAATATTTAATTTGCTGCTCGGGTATGATCATTCGGCTGCTCCTCAGAGTAGATAACCAACTTAAGCTACAGATTGTTTGTGGCTCGCGCACTTAAAATGGAATTCTTTTTCCTAGGAGTCATTTCAGAATATGAATGCAAAATATCGCCAGCGAAAGCTGTACCTACGGGTAAGTCTATACTTCTCTGTGCACCAGCGATTGAGACACCAAGTGATAAATATGAATATTTGAGCTGTAGTAGTGTAACCGTTGACAAATACGTCACCCGGATCTCTATGGAGCGGTCAGTTCTTGGGAAATGAAGTAAACGCACAGCCTTTACTAAAAGATACCCACGGCAGTGGAAGTGGAGTTCATCCTAAATGACTTCCATTGTTTGCTAAGTACAAGTACAGCATAGTAGAAGACTGGTTATGCTACATAACCAGTCTTTTACTATGCTGAAATGACGATCATAACCGCGTTTTGTTTGGGATATTCACATAACTGTGTACTCAAGCAGTTTATAACATACTAGGGTGGTCCAGTACATGTTTTATGACAATGTGACAACAATGATCCGAACATTTATCTCATCTGTTGCAAACAATGTCCACAATATCACATTTAAGCTCATAATGAAATTGACCCAAGTGAGAAAAAGTTAGCAGTGTAAGGGTAGACACCTGAAGTGTCCGGACAAAAATATGCAATTCATGAAAATATGGTACGCAAACACTGAACTCACCTTGACATTCTATCCCGTTGCACTTAACTCAATCGCTGATCGCTCCGCCATACCGAACCATGTACTACCTGGGCCTATATTGTTCATAGGCCGACATCTAATGGCACTGCTTGTCGTCGCTGCCACGCTCGATGAACACGTTTTCTGATCATTCTTGCATCTCAGTATGAGCTAGGGCAATCGGAAACAGTGGCATATAAATAAACGCTTCACAGATCATTGACACATTAGATTTTAGGTTTTGTTGTGCATTAACATCATGTTTCTCTGTCACCGCATTTAGTGGACCTTGCCCATTAACTGTAAACGACTCGTCACCGCAAGCTGACAAAACGTAATATGCTCACTGTTGACTATTTTTAATGGTAGGCGCTCTTCATGCGCTCATTGCATACAAGGCCCATCAGACAAATTAAGCACCATCATTATAGTGTTAAACTGCCACCACTCAACTGCTTATTTCAGAAGTAGCATTTTATGTTAGAGATCTTTAGCGATGCGCGTACCCTAGGCTGATGAAGTACCCGGAGCTATGGCTCAACTCTCACAAGCAGGTAAACGCCATCGACCGTCGGGTTTACAGGTGACTACCTATACGGAACTTAATATAACCCACTTCTGACACGAAATTTACCACTATTAACGGTTGTTTGCACGGGCGCATATAAGGCGCCTCCCATCTGAACGCTGAACTCCATGACTGAGTTGGTACTTCTTTTTTACTCTTTAGTCAGTTCGAAACAGACCATTTCGAACTTGGAACCGTTTAGCACCCATCTCAACATTCAAGGATTGACTCTGTGTTTAACAATCCCACTTCCGACGCGTTTCACGAAACTGTCTTTTAATTATTGTGCTCTTCTCTCTCACGTCTTTACTCCCATGCACTCTTCCGAATCAGATTACCAAGCCGTATTCAGTGAGTAGATGTTTGCGAACTTGTTCCTTACTGATCGTCACTAGTGTAACCCAAGTTGTTTTAACACTGCTCGTGCGCACACGCAAGGCATGCAACCTTGTTGCTTTTACTCTCAGGGCTGCGAAATGGCATTTGACAAATAATTCTCTGAGCTAGTCGATAGATGCAATATGTTGCTTACAAGACTATTTCTAGGGAAGCTATGACTTCGTTTGTGGCTTACGATTAGATACCTACACCGCCGACCCACAGTTGCTAACATCCACCCACTAAAAAGCACTTTACATTGTGTAGTCCCACACGAGGTAGTGTCGATCGACAAACATCTAAGCCGCATGTGCATGTGGGTTCTCCTCGTTACCAACCAGACTACGATAACCAAGGACAAGCGCGGGACTACGGCTTCACGTTAACCCAAAGGTGCAGTGTTCGGTTATAGAAACGGCCTCACTGAACGAGATTCCAATTAGCTGCAAGTGTGGTGAACCAAAATACGCCTGCTTGGTCAGGTCAAGACTAGTGTTCTCTAGCTGTGCCCTAGCATTCCACCCTTAATGTGATAGTCTAAATCAACTAGAAGCAGAGGCACAACAATGTGACTGGTGTTGTATTGGTTTGCTCGATATCCACGGTCATTCCAATTTTCAATCGCGTATTTGTGCCCATGAATTAGCGCAAAAGCTGACTGAAACACTCGAACAGATGGCACGTTTCAGGTTTTCCCCGTTAAAATAAGACAAACCTCATCCGGTTTCCGATATGAGCTCTGTCCCTAGATTAAATAGTAATTTCACTCTTGTTAACCGCTCCTCAGTAACTGTACAACTTACTCTGACAAAGTCTGACCCATAAAGCGAGCAAGTCACGTTTAACGTGACTGCTTTAACATTAATCCCAAAGGCTGCACATAGTAATACAGTCACAACGCCGGAACTCCAGAACCGGAGGCATTCAGTACAGATAACAAAGAGAAACCTTCGCATCGGTCTCTTGGACAAAAACGTTGGAAAGGATACATATATCCACCATTTTAATGAAGAAAAGCATTACGACGCAACTTTCAAAATTATCTTCAAAGCCCCCAGCAAAACTAACAAAATTACCAGCAACAACTCTCCAACGGGTCTTTGCTAGATGAACCCGCAGTGGGTTAACTTTTGTGTACATTGAAGTTCGCGAGTACCAATCTGGCGCAATAAAAAGTAAGCTGCCTTACTATGTAGCCAGTGGAATTCCAATTGTGATGCAATTTGTATTCCGGTCGAGCCCACTGTGCTGAGACGCGAAGCACATTGCGGTGAACCTTGAATCCTTCGAGTGACGCTGAGCTCAGCAGACAAGACACAAGGCGCGCTATTCTTAACACTTCGTTTTAGCACCCCACCGAGCGAGGTACGCACATTGCCACATCTTCCATAAAATCTAAGGCGGCTCCTCTAAACATGATAGCAAGTAAGCACATTTGTTTATGGTCTTCTCGACCTTCCGGATTTTTCTGATCACGATCGGGAGCAGTAGTTGTATATCCGCAAGGCACTTTCTCTGAACGATTTTATCGCTAAAACGTTGGCGACAATCCGTTCGCCTCAAACTACAAGGGTTGAGTTCCAGCCTTAATAAAAGTAGTTCTGCACTCCGAAAGAATAGCATTAGTTCTGTTAAATGCCAGGGTCAGGTTTCATGCGAAGATACCCACCGAATTTCGACCACTCGTTGCCAGAAATGCCAGAAACACGAGAGAGTATCGAAACCTGGAGCGCCCTATGCTACTATGCAACCCAACTAAAATTGAAAACCGTCAACCTAAAAATGGAACGATTGGTCGCCCTCCATCAAAAAGTCGGCTTAAAACTCGATCCGAATCTGACATCCGCCAGCACAGTCTGAACATCTAAAACGTTATCCTGCTTGTACACCGATGCCCAAGGCCTTCTTAGACAGCTGATCAAAATCAGAGCGCATCAGGCCTCACAGCCACAGGATTTTATCATAATTACAGAGACCTGTTTAGTTTCTGAGTTGAGCAAAGGAGCGCAACCTTGATGTGCTCATGCAGAGTGATATCGACTGTTCAAAACAATCACAGGTAGCAGCGTAAAGATTCAACAAGCACGTCGGCGTGCTGCAGAGTGCATGCTTGAGTTTTGACCTACTTTTGTTCCCGACAATACCAATTTCTACATGCACTATTACGTTGTAGCCCCTATCTAAACTTGACTACCTTGGTTGAAGCGCTACCTAGGGGTGCTAGAATCACAACAATGTGGGGCAACAAAAAGCGTCAAAAGTCTACGTAATTTCTCTTACAAGTAAATATTGAAGTTACTTGGAGTTTTCAGCAGGTACTGCCTACGGCTACGTGGCGATCTGATATTAGTGTATCGAATATTGAGTGACCCTAACAACGTATGCCGCCACTTGTTGAAACAGCCACAACACCGAGCTCTGAATTAACTGCACGAAATTGAGTGAACAATACAGCCGTCTGGAGCGTCGACGGAATTACTTTTTTCTTCGGGTTTGCTAACACTGAAACTCCCAAACTCGGTCATTGCTACTAATGTGTATGATATCAGCGAAAAAGGATTGAATGTTGCCGAATAACCCCCGGCTACTGTGGAACATCTTCATGATACATTCATACTGGATTTATGTAGCGCATGGACCTAAGGAGGCGGTGCATGAGTGAGCGCTTCCAATTTCTTTTTTCCACAGAATACATCAATTATAACCGCTCATCATGTGCGCATATTCAATCCCCATTTCATACCATCGTTATGCAGTAGTGCATTTAAAGCGGTAAACACTTAAACTGACCATCCACATACCGTTTGGTTTTGTGGCTTTCGCCCCAACCATCTTACGGGATTTGTAAATTACCTGCATGTGCACCCGTGATACATCCTTTTCTATTATTCGATCATAATAGTGTAGAGGAGCACCAACCTGATCGTTGGGTGCACTGCTGGGATAGAGAAACATATGGATTTCATCAGTTTTGGACATAGTTCTGGTGACCCCGTTTCATCACAACTTAATTTTTTGGTCTAAATTGAGATCGTATATCGTGACCCGTCTACACAAAGATGTCTCAAACAAAAGCAGCAATGTGTGTTTGATTCCGTTATCCCGCACCTAAGATCACTGAATGATTAGGGATGCGGCACTTTAGGAGTGAGATGGATGCATGTGAGGGTTTCAAGCATACATTCTACTCATCGTCAAAAGTTGCACATTCCCCGCTTAATTGTGCTTGTTGAGCTAAAAGCAAATGGTATATCCAGCTTGTTGATCTATATTGGATTCCTTCTTCAGTAGCTTTTCGTTAGACCTTGCGTTTAGTGTAAAATACTTATGATAGAGGCAAGATTGAGACACGATTCCAAGCGGTCGTGGATATCAGTATATCATCCCTTGAGTGCTGATCATTGTGCATTCTTCAGTCGACTGCTCTGGCTTAAAATGCGATATCCAACAAAGCTTCGCATGTACGTACCCACTCGCAGCACCATCCGATGTTTGCATCACCATATTGTAAGCCATATACATTCACAAGTAACTTATGTGGCCTTCTTATCGCCTGTAAATTTATGCTAATTGCTACGAGCGAGCACCTGTGCGCTATCGATACTGGTTAGAGATATGAATTCGGATGCGAAGATGCTTCGAAGAGCGATACTACTCCTGTATCAACCAACATATAACAACTTACGTTGTAATAGTTTTGTCCAACTGCTTGACATGATTCGCGTGAGTTATTTGATCCTTTGATTTCCACTGCTTGGTGTTGCGTCAGTGTAGCCAAACTGTTCAACCCCACCATTGCTCTCGCGGAGACGTTAGTTGCAGCAGCCACTGATATCGGTTGGACTGTCGTGCTCTTTCCATTCGCAACCATATGTAAGCGGAACGGCAATTCAGGGACCACAGCCCCTTGTTTTATTTGTGCTTGCACCGAATTCGGTGCAACAAGTTGTTCTGCCGGTTCAGTTGCTACTGTTTGTTGTATTCCCCTTGAGAGTGGCTGACGTGTATTGGTTTCTAGTCCGCACATGGCTGAAATAGAGAATGAGTCCATGCTCAATACAGACGTCCAGTGATCAGTGAGGACGTGTTATCCCACAAACCGATGAACCGTCCGTTGATCGCAGCTTATCTCGTCGGTTAACCACACATGCGCTGCTTGATGTGTCATAACAGATGCGTTGTTAGCAATGATGTTGCTACTGAGGTGCCATGACCGAATTCACTTTCCATCCTTGCTTCAGCCCCGCGGAATAATTTCGTCTATTATCTTGGTTATCCACAAATACCAGTTATCGTTGCATAAATCATTAAACATCTTTCAGAAATACACGTATGTTCGTTATCTGTTTCAAAAACTACGTTGAAAATTTCCAAAGTATCCTTAAAACTGCATTGCCAACCACCTCGTTATGCGAATATACCCCAAATCCATCTGACTCGTTATACTATAAGGAAATGACGAATTGCTTTTGTCGAACGAATAAGATGGAGACATCATTTTCTGAGGTCCCTCGCTAACTGGGCCCAGCTGTTCAAATCGGGTACCAAACCCAATGTTACAGGTGAGTACGCAAAACCTTCACTTAATCGCTCGTTCACACGATTTCGCAATATTCCCGGAGGAGGAATGCGACGTGCTTTGGCCAACTCTAGTTGCGGACGATGTATCCTTATTCCATCAGAAAAAACGAATAACGGCCGACCTCACATCGGGCGGCATTCTTGCGCAAGTGACTCCTTTAGACTTCTGTGGGCTCCGAGCGACAAAGAGACTATGCTGCCCTCACATAAATGCTCAAGACCTTTCAATAACCTAGTCTAATTAAAAGACGGACAAGTTTCGAAGCCGTACGATGTCACTAGTGTCACGGAAACATGCTTTGCATGTTGGAATGACGGACCTTATGGTTAGCTGGATTCATGGATGTGGGTGAAGAAAAGGCACATTACATCATACGCTCGGCTGCTCTATACAAGCGTTATGTTGATCACATATTGCTAATCATGGACTCCGAGATGAACATCACGCATGCGACCTAGACGCTCAAAAAATTCGTCAAAACGTACCGTGACGCGTGACGATGGGCAAGACAATTGCCCTTCGTATTTAGACATGCTGATTACACGACGGTCAGACGGTTCCATCAAAAGGTCTGTCTAAAGAAAGCCGACCTGGACTGCCAAATATTTTCAAGTTGCGAGTTTCTCTCAATGAATAATGATTTATAACGGGTAAAAGGGCAGGAGCTTGACATGTCCCGTATGGTGGTTAGAGTGAGGAAAGATAGATCAGAGGATAATGGAGTCGTCAGTTGGGACGATTACAGATTTATCTGCACTGCCGTATAAAGGGAGTTAGGAATTAGAATGTGCGCACACAAAGCAATAAGGAGAGTGGTTATAGATCACGTAATAAGCGCGAAAAAAATAAAAAAATAACAAGGACAACGCTTATTCGTGTGCAGCTATCTCGGGTTGACGGGATACAGAAATCCAGTTTCCTCAGTAGTAACGCTTATCAAATTGTGTGCAAGGGGTTTGGAGTGACTCATTCTCGAGTAGGTTTATGGCACTACCCCCTGTCTGTTGTGCATTAGTGCCAGCATCTGGTGGTCATGGGCCATAGAACGTAGTGTAAATGTGACAGAGTATCGTCAAGGTGTTTTTGAAAAGAGATAGGGCAGAAGCATTAATTACATGTTCCGGTAGGGCGTTCCAAGGCTGTGACATTCGAAGCGAGAAAAGATTTCGCCGAAATTCCAGTCGGCTGTACTATGTGACCAGCTTAAACTGATGACCTCTTAGCGGGGTGTTTTGACTAAGTATCAGAAGGGAATGGCATGAGTGTTTGGGGTTTCTCAGGATCATGTACACCATTATGAGATCCCCCTTAAACGCTGATAACGTCCCCTATATAGTTTGAGAGTTCAGCCTGAGTGGGTAGGGGAGGATGGTCAAACCCTGATGCTCTTCGTTGCCCTACGTTGTGCAGTGTCGAGCGCGGTGAGATGGTGCTTGAGCCAGGGTTGCCACGCTTTAATAGCGTATTCTGCGTGCGGCCTGACGTACGCACTAAGCATTATTGGGAAGATCGAAGGGTCAAACTTCCCGAAGGCTCTGCGAAGAAGGCCGAGGTACTGGTTTGCTTTCTTAGATGCCTTTACAGTCTGCCTCAAACAACCGAGGTCATCTTGAACCATCACGCCGTGATCGCATTCGTGAGAAGCTCTCTGCAGCATTTTTGGTCCTAGGCGGTAGTTGTGCATACTCGTGCCGTATACTGTGAACTTTGCACTTGATGACGTTGAAATGCCGCATGTTCTCGATGGACCATTTGTACACATTGTTCAGGTCCTCTAGTAACTCTGTGTGGTCCTCCGTTGCAGCTGTAGTGCGCCATACCTTTAGATCATCAGCAAATAGATTGCCGAGGCTATTGCCATTAATCGGCTTAAGCCAGTGCTTTGTGTTCAAAGACAATTATCGGTCAGCCGCAGGCTGCCTTGGTTGTAGAAGAAAAGTACCCGATTTTTCTCTCCTTTTTTGTATGTATGTCTGTACCCGCAAACTGTTATATAAAATTACCTGTTATCTTTATCGGCACTGATGAGACGATACGAAATACACGCATCTGCCGAACTTCGTCTTCTAACTGTGCTTTTCAAGTTACTAAAGGGAACTAACTGTTTTAAATAACAACTTACACGAAGGCGTGGATTTTGCTAGTCAACTGCGGTGCGTTCCCTCTGTTCCTCACTGATTCGTCCAATTTTCTGGTCTCACTCTCTCACTATTAACAGTTAGCAACCACGCTCAGAGCCATTTTTATTTTTGTTATTGTGAAACTTACGTTTGGTTTTCTCTCATGTCTGCAGTAAGGACACGCGCGATAAGAAAAAGTTGTGTTGTAAACAAGGATGTCCCCATCTTAGTTCAGAAGCTCAGCGAACAAACCAAGGTACCACGCAAAACATCCCTCGGTAGTAGCAGAAAAAGCACCCGAAAGAGTGTAGGCGTTGTGACAGATGGTTGTGCATTTCTTGCTGACCTGAAAAAGACACCTGAAAAATGTCCCTTTGTAGCTGAAACTGCGTATGCTGCGCTATCATTTAAAGTTGACACGCTCACATCTATGCTGCAGCCCATGCATAGTCTGTTTGCCTTATTTGAATCGCCCTCAGATATTGGTAAAATGTCTATCACGAAATGTAGCTCGCTGATTGACTCAATTTCGACCGAAGTACAGAATCGAGTACGTTGCTCACGCAATGCTGTGGTTTTTAATGTACCTGACAAGCTACCTATGAAAACTGTTCAGAGAGTTCTACTGTCTGCGTGCGGCATACAAACTTGTTGGTCCAGCTGCACTAGGCTACGTAAAACGTTTATGCGCTATGACTGTCCCATACTTTTCCGGTTTGAAAATGAACTAATTGCTAGACAATTCATTCGAAATTGTAATTTGATTCAGCATAATACGACTTCCAAACGTCTGAAAATAATAGAGGACAAAACCCCCTTACAGCGAGAGCTTAGAAGACGACAGCTAGAAGCAAACCTGACTGCTAAACCCCATTCTGAAAACGTTTCTGTTGGTGGCAGCTACAAGTTTGGCATTTGTTCTACGCCTGCTGCAGTTACGGATAACGTGGCGAATAACGAAATCAACTCTGGTACTCCAATTAGATCGCTTGATCACACGGATCAGTCAAGCCCGTTATCCGCTGTATCTAGGAGTACGCCCAGTTTCGGCACTTCGGCTATGCCAGCCACAAAATTGATCATCGGTACACATCCACCAGATCGAAATTTCACGGTTAAGCGTGATAAGCCGACCAAACACAAAATGCCTACAAACCCCAGCGCTGTGGTTGTGCACGGTGCTGCCTCTCAAAAAGCCAGTTTCGGTAATCCTAAAAGCTTCTTCAATGCTGTTTCATGCCAGAAAAGAGGAAACAATGCGGTTCAGACAAAACCAACTGCAGTACCCGTTGAACCCCATATTCAATCACAGCCACAATCTTCAGCCTGTGTTATCCCGCCAAAAGTCTACTCTGGCCAGTATATCGGATCATCTAAGACATCTAAGGACTCAGGAAAATGGATCGATTGTATGATGACGGTTGACTTGGATTTATCGAGAATGTCACCGGATAAATCCATAGCATCGCCTTGCCTGAATAGCCATCCATCCATTGATCAAGGCCACAAAGGCACACAAGGTGCCCCAACATCTTTGCAGATTGAACGCGATTTATCTGTTTATCGCCAAAATCCGGACTCATGTTTAAAAAACACAATATATTCTGTTCGAGCTGCATGGATTGACACTAGTGTGCCTCCACCGCTTATAGTGAAGCCTTTCGACTCTAGCGCACCTAAGCAGGTTACATTCCACGATGAAAATGACGATTGCGTATTTACTCATTTCACCAATCTATCCAATCAACAACCTATTAGTGCCACGAGGCAGACGCCACAGCCTCGAAATTTAGCATCCACTAGCGAGTTCCATGGAAACCCGCTCTGTAATCCTCCTGCCCTCATGAGCTGCTATGCAAACCATGGACCCGCCCCCGTATCCCATTTTCTACACGGCCATACTCAGTCACAACCCCCTCCCCTGTGGCTACCGCCTAATCCCTTTCCAACGAAGGTGTCAATCCACGCCTTGTTTCACCAATTTTTAGCATGGGCACAGACACAAAGCTATCAGACCCAATGTTCATAAAGCAGCATAGACAACGTTCTTCACATCTCGCATCTATGTTAATATTTTTGATTAATATTCGTTCGCTTCATTCCAAGATCTACATACTACGCTCATTTGTTTCTGTGACCGATCCTGACATAATATTTATAACTGAGTCGTGGTGCCATGATGACATGTCTAACACCCAGCTAATCATTTTCGGATATGATATGTTTATGAGAAATCAGCAGTGTCGTCGAGGAGGAGGATGTGTACTTTACGCGAAACAATCGCTGGCAGCAACGACATTCGAGAATCCAGTACTGAATAATGTGCA